ATGGTGCTCAGATGCCAGAGAGCGTGTGATGACTTGGCATCCCTGAAGAGTTTGTCTGATAATCCAGACATAAGAATTGATTCTGCTCTGCAGAATCATTTAATCATATGTTTTACTCACTCATTCATTCATTTTTCAAATATCCATTGAGTTTTTTTGTGCCAGACCTTGTGCTAACTTTTGGAGATACAAATATGAAAACACATGGAACCTCCATTCAAGGAGACTTATTGTAAGTCAAGTGGAGAAATAGATAATATCTCACAAACAGTAATTACTGTAATAGAGGTATGTCCACACTGTTTTGGTAACATACACATACCTCATAGCACAAAGTTACTCATGAAAAGTAGATGATTTGGAAATACTATTTTATTCCGATATAATCAGTATATATAGCTTAATACTTTCTGTGTGTCAGATAATACACTGTGTCCTGAGGAAAACAAGGTATAAAAATAATTTTTCTCATGCGTGAGAAGCCTTTAGTCTAGTGGGAAATGACCCATCTCATTATAATAAAGATGTATACCAGATACCTGTGAGACATAGAAGAGAAACTTAGGAGTTAAAAAGAAAGGCTTTCTTCACAGAGAAAGTAGTGTTTGAACTGAGATTTGAAAGGCAAGCAGGGATTTATTAGATGGACAGGTTGTGGCTTTCTAAGCAGAAGGAACAACATGTGCAAAGGCACAGTGGCATGAAAAGGCAAATACTGTGCTAATGCTAAAGCATAAGGGGCAAGATGGTGAGGGGTGAGAAAAGAGGTAAAAGATAAAAATTTATAGAGCACATATCTTATCAGACACCATTCTAAATACTTTATATAGATTTACTCCATAAGTCTTTATCATTGCTTTGTGTTGGAAATATTTCAAATCTAGTTCTTTTGAAATACACTATAAATTATTGTTAACTATAGTCACTCTACTGTGCTATTGAATACTAGAACTTATTCCTTCTGTCTAACTGTATTTCCATATTCATTAACCAGTCTCTCTTCATCCCCATCTCCCACACCACCACCACCTCCACCCCACCACTCTCCCACTATGTCCCGAACCCACCTTGTCCACCTTTCCCAGCAACTACTGTTCTGCTCTCTACTTCCATCAGATCAACTTACTTAGTTTCCATGTACGATTGAGAACATGGAATATTTGCCTTTCTGTGCCTGGCTTATTTCACTTAACATGATGACCTCCAATGCCATCCATTTTGCTGCAAATGATAGGATTTCATTCTTTTATTTTTTTTAATTTTATTTTTTTGAGATGGAGTTTCGATCTGTCACCCAGGCTAGAGTGCAGTGGCACAATAAAATAATGGGATTACAGGCATGAACCACTGCACCCGGCCGGATTTCATTCTTTTTTAATGGCTGAATAGTAATTCATTGTGTATATTAATAAATATACATTTTCTTTATTCATCCATTGATAGACATTTAGGTTCTGTATCTTGGCTATTGTGAATAGTGCTGTAATGAACATGGGAGTGCATATTTCTTTGATATCCTCATTTCCTTTCTTTTGGGTATATGCCTAGCAGTGGGATTGCTGGCTGGATCATATAGTGCAACTGTTTTTAGTTTTTTGAGGAATCTCCATACTGTTTTCCAAAGTGGCTATACTAATTTACATTCCCACCAACATAGTACCAGCATTCTCCTTTCTCCACATCCTTGCTAACATCCATGTTTTTTGTCTTTTTGATAACAGCAATTTTAACCCAGGAGAGATGATACCACATTGTGGTTTTGATTTACATTTCTCTGTTGATTAGTGGTGTTGACCTTTTTTTTTTTCCATGTACCTTTTGGCCATTTGCATATTTTTTCTTGAGAAATGTTTATTCAGATCATTTGCCCATTCGTAAATCAGATTATTTTATTATTGCTATTGAGTTCCTTATATATTCTGGTTATTAATCCCTTGTCTGGTGGAGAGTTTGCACATATTTTCTCCCATTCTGTAAGTTGTCTCTTTACTGAGATGTTTTCTTTGCTGTGAAGAAGCTTTTTAGAATGATGTAATTCTATGTCTAGTTATGCTTCTGTTGCCTGTGCTTTTGAGGTCTTATCCAAACAATCATTTCCCAGACCAATGTCCTGAAGCACTTCCACAATGTTTTCTTCTAGTAGCTTTATAGTTTCAGGTCTTATATTTAAGTCTTTAATTCATCTTTATCTGATTTTTGCATGTAGTAAGAGGGGTCTAGTTTCATTTTTCAGTATATAGATATTCAGTCTTTCTAGTACCATTTATTGAAAAGACTGTCCCTTCCCCTACTGAAAGTTCTTGGCAGCTTTGTCAAGAATCAGTTGGCTGTAAATACATGGATTTATTTCTGGGTGGACATCTAAGCTTAACATGCAGTGTATCTAAAGGCTTTTGGGCAGAAATGATAAATTGATGGACATTTCCAGTGTTGGTTTATAATTATCCTAAATCTTGTCCATTACCCATAAACAAAGTCTCATGAATTTGAAACCCCCATTCACACAAGGAAAATGTGATATAGACACACAATATCTATAATACTAAATAAGACAAAAGTTGTGCAGTTTTACTTTTATGCCTCTAAGTGGAAATTTTAAATGAATAGTAAATTTGCTTATAAAACTATGAAAAACTAAATTCTGTATTTTTCATATTGTAATTATTTTCTTCATAAAGCAAAGTAGTATAATTTGTTCTAAATTTAATTTACTAATCTCCTAAAATTAATTTGCAGAAGAACTTGTATACATTAAAGTTCTTTACACATACACATTCATGGAAGTTTAGAACATTTAAATTTGTCAGCAGTTCCTCTCTTTCTCTTCATATAGCAATACTCTTTCCTTTGAAAAACTCCTCCCATATGATGCATTTGATTGGAACCAATGCCGAGGTCAAATCTTTATTTAAATCAGTCAGTTCTTCATAGAAAATACTTTGGACAAATCCTCTTCTTCATTAGTCAGGGCACTCTTTTCACTCAGATGAAACTTCAGTTTGAAATGCCACATTCATCACAAAATGACTAAAAGTGGAACTAGATTAATCAAAAAGTTCTTTATTTTATCTTCATAAATGTATGACTTCATGTGAAGACTGGAAAAAATACCTGTAGTGATTGCAATCTAATGAAAAAGGAGATGGAAGCATTGATTGTATGGCTTGCTGATTTCAAAACTCTTTAATCTTTCTGAAGCACTTTTAATTTCAGGATGTTTAAGTAGCTTTAATTCTTATTATTAAAAAATTAAGATGCTTAATGCCTATTTTTTATTGAAAGCCATAACCCCATAAAGCTTAGCAATTTCCATTTCTATTTGAAAGTTAATGAAATGAGAGAACAAGCACTTTACCACTGAATAATTCAGAGTACAACTGAGGAGACCCACGGGGTGAGAGCTGACATCAAACTCCAATTGAAAACCATTTTTTAAAAATAAATCTGTCTGGTAAATGATTTGTATGGTTTATTTTTTCTTACCTAGAAATTCTAAAATGGACATTCTAAGTGTAGAATTCCACAATGCAACTGAGAAAATGAGTAAATGAGATAATTATTAGACTATTTTGATAACTTATGAAACATATAAATGAAAACTTTTTTGACTCCTTATATTTTAAACACTTGAATTTTTTAAGTGTTTAAATTCTCAAGTCATGTCATGTAAGATTTCAAGAGATCACTAGTGCTCAATAAATTTGTGTTGAATTTAGTTGTGTTGTATTGCATTGCCTATTATGGGGGAAGGCTCATCCTTCTTTCTGCTAAGAAACAGAGAATAATTGTAAACAGCCCTTAGTCTGAATCATCTTTATGCCATGTCATAGACACAAACCAGTGGATGGGTTTGATAGCCTGGAGTCTTGAGTTTACCTCCTTCACAGTTGAGACACATTGTTAGTTTGGTTTACTATTTAAGAAATCATTAGGATGCTCTTTATTCATCTCTGAGAATCAAGTTTCCACTCAACCATTTATATATAACATAAATTATATTATAAAAGTCCAATACATGTATTAGAACCAGTTTCTTTATATATGCCTAATTACAGTGCAATTTCTCATATTACCTGAGTTAAAATTAATGCATTTCAAAACAACAGTAATTTATATTTAAAGAAAAGTGAAATGTACTTAAAAGAGCTGTTTTTTCTAAAGACACAGCACTCTCATAAAGAAAACTTTGCCTCATCTCTTTCTACATGTTTGAGTCAGTCAAAACATGTAGTCAAAACATGAGCAGTCAGTCAAAACAATAATGCTTTCCTATAGGTGTAAATAATAAAGAAGTAAACCTCAATAGTAAAGAATCAGTTACGCTAGCGGTCCCCAGCCATTTTGGCACCAGGGACTGTTTTCCTGGAAGACAGTGTTTCCATGGACTGGGTTTGGGGTTGGGGGGATGGTTTCAGGATGAATCAAGCACATTACATTTATCATGCACTTTATTTATATTATTATTACATTGTAATATAAAATGAAATAATTATACAACTTACCATAAGGTAGAATCAGTGGGAGCCCTGAGCTTGTTTTACTGCAACTAGATGGTCCTATCTGGAGGTGATGGGAGACAGTGACAGATCATCAAGCATTAGACTCTCATAAAGAGCATGCAACCTAGACCCCTCACATATGCAGTTCACAACAGTGTTTGTACTCCTATGAAAATCTAATTCCACCACTGATCTGACAGGATGCAGAGCTCAGACGGTAATGGAGCAATGGGGAGCAACTGTAAATACAGATGCAACTTTGCTGACTCGCTTGCCGCTCACTTCCTGCTGTGTAGCCCAGTCTCTAACAGGCCATGGACCAGTACCAGTCCATGGCCTGGGGGCTGGAGACCACTGAATTACACAATAGACTGAAAATTAGATAGTTTCCTCTTCTCTTATATGCTGTATTCTTTGGTATCAAGATATTCTATTACTGGGGATAATCTGTTTTTCTATGATATTCTCAATATTTTTTTGTTTGTACATTTTTTTTTTCAGTCAAGAGAATCCATCCCATTAAATGACCTAAAGTCAGAAGTATCACCACGGATTTCAGCAGAGGACCTGATTGACTTGTGTGAGCTGACAATGACAGGCCACTTCAAAACACCCACCAAGAAAACAAAGTCCAGTAAACCAAAGCTCCTGGTGGTTGACATCCGGAACAGTGAAGAGTATCCTTTGCATATGCTGTTTTAAAGGGTGGTACTGCTTATTTATATTGCATCCTTTCATTTAAATGGTGCGTGGTTAAAAAAAAAAATTCTGGGATTCTTCTGAATTTAAGTAGTTAAATTACTCTCAAACTGGATGTCAGAATGGTCTTACATAAGGTTTTATAAGATAACATTACATGCCAGAGACCTTATGATATTTTCCAAACACCACTAGAATATTAGAATATTTTCTTGCTTATTGTGTTTCTCTCGTGTATATTGCTATTCTTGAAGGCATTTGAATCCTTCATACTATAGATAGGAATTGTGGCAAAGATGAAGAGTAAGTATACACCTGTTCTACCTCATAGCCTAGAGAAAAAGTTTGCTACATCTCAACATTGACCTTGTGTTCATTATAATTTTCAAAACACTGGCTTATATAGAACATGTATTTTTACTAACTGCAAAGTGTTATTTGCAAAGATTTTACTATTGAACATACTGTAACATCCAGTGGGTTTCATTGGCATTGGAGTATGAACAGTTACAAAAAGTAACAGCTCAGTCTCCTCTTCTTTTATTTTCATTCTCTTCAGATTCTTTGATTGTGTATTTTCTAGAATCTAGATAAATGATTTTCACTTTGTTTAAAAACAGAGCAAGTCTTAAAATCTTTCTTAGAAACTCAATATATAAAATATAAATGAATTTTATTATAACTAATTTGCTTCATAAGTTCAAATTTATAGCATTTACTAACTATAAATGCTATAAAGGAGGGTTAGCAGGTTAATGGTTTCTTATATGCTAAAATTGGCATATACAGGGTATCCTGTGTCCAAAATGTTTGTGACAGTATTTCAGGTTTCATATTTTTTAGGATTTTGGAATATTTCCATTATATATATACTTACCAGTTCAGAATATCTAATCCAAAAGCCTCTAATGAGCATTTCCTTTGAGCCTGATGTTGTTACTCAAAAAGTTTGATTTTGGAGCATTTCAGATTTTATAGTTTTGGATTAAGGCTACTCAATCAGCAATAAGTTTTCATGTTCATATTTTCAATTCCAATTTTTGAAATGAGATTCGAATTATAATTTACAGACTTTATTAAGTAATTCATAAAATCTTTGGTTTCTGAAAGTACAATTTGAGAGCCCACAATTTCAAAGATATATTCTCATCATTTTGTGAAAAGTTGCTACTTTCTATTTTTCTGAGTTTGGAGATAGTGTAAATGTTGATCTCCCTGGTTGTTAGGGTTTCAGCAATACTGGAAATTCTTTGCAGAGTGGATGAGTGGACTCCCAAAAGAGGCATTAAATTCTATTTAACTGATCAAGAACCCATAGTCTAGAAGTTCTTCTGACTTTATACTTCAAGAGTTTAGAATCTGTTTAATGCTTTTAACTTTTTAATTTGTATTTCTTTTGTTTGAGTCTTTATTCATAGCCATTCTCCCATAAAACCATACAAAATAGCATTATAATATCCTATTTTAATCTTAAAGATAATTCTCCCATTCTGTAGGTTGTCTGTTGCCAGGTCTGACCTGCAGACCCTGGCCAAATGACTGATGTAAGAATGCACTCAGACATGGGTGTCCAGTGAAAAAGAGGGCTAGGGGACCTGGCCACTTACAGACCCCGAGGAGGGTGCTATAAAGAGTCAGCAGCTGTGGCCCTGACAAGTTGGTGCTGTAGGCATTTATTTAGTACAGATTTAATAACAAAGGCTTTGAGTCAACACACTTTTGCATAATTAACGTGGTTACTCTGCCCAGAGATAGCAGTCATGTGTGTGGATGATTAAAGGCCAGGTTCCGAGGCCTAAGTAAACTAACCTATCTAGATTAATTCATTTATATCTCTTTGTTATCTAACCTTTGCTCTCAGGCTCTGGATAAGAGGGTTTGGCTACCTTCAGCCGAATCCATTTCCGAAACTTTTGTAAAAGCTCCCTGCCTTCTGAGAAGGTTTGCATCTTTCTACAATTTTTCCCACCACCCTATCTCCTACATCTCCCCCTTTTCTGTTTTTAGCATCAGGTTTTGTTGATTGAAGAGTACAGATGTGTGTAGCAACGACTTTGTCAGGCATGGCGGGCACTGCTCGCATTCCAACTTTGCATCCTAGAATTAGTAAATAATAGAAGGCAAATATGAGCATAATTAGCAACATTCTTTTCCAATTAAGGAGTGACATGTAGTATTACTTGGCACCTTAGTCCAATGTGTGCTGTTATTGAGGAACCCCATTTGGGACATGTCAATCTCTCTTAGCTAAGCAGTTGTGTTGTTAGAAGCTGAGAAGGGGGTGTTTGTTTAAGTAATAGGGCTGAAGAAAGGTGTATCTAAGAGATGAGCCCAATAGAGAGTAGCAGGTGGGGGTTGCAGGTAAAGTGAAAGAGTTAAAAAAGTTAATAAAGCATAGGAAGGAACAAATTATCTGGAGTGAATGGTGTCTGTGTCCAGAGCAGATTTGCTCAGTCTTTTAATTTCTCTTCTTAAGAGTCCTGTCCAGGGCCTGTGTTGTCCCAGGAAGCCACATTGTCTGGGGCTGTAGGTCCTGTAGGGTCATTTTCTTTATTTCTGGTACTGGGTTGTGTCCTAGCCATGCTATGGTAAGGTTTCATATGTCGTGCTGGAATCCAAAGAGGACCTGAGGGGGTGTGAACACAAACATATCCTCTCCCCCATGTTAACAATTCATTTGGACCACACCATACATTACTGTTTACATCTTTCCATAAAACTGCAGATTTTATGTCTTGAGAGGTTTTTGCAAAGTGCTTTTCTACAGCTGATTGAAATTTATCATCTAAATTTTTAAAATTAAGGGTAAATAAGGCTTGTGCTAATAGTGTTGCAGGGTCCTTACTCATATTCCCCCTTTTTTGTTTTCTGAGCATATTTTTAAGGGCAGAGGGGGTACGTTCTACTATGGCCTCTTCTTGGAGGTTATATGGGATGCCTGTGGAATATTGGATAGTCCACTGTGACAAAATTGTTGAAATTGTGAGCTGGCATAAGCCAGACCATTATCAGTTTTAATTTTTGTAGGCTGCCCCATAAATGCAAAAGTTAAAAGAAGATGTTTAATGACATATCGGGTGGACTCTCCAGGAAAGGCATGAGCACTAATTGAGAATAGTTTTTAATGGATACATGTACCTATCTTAGTTTTTCAAATTCAGGCACATGTGTAACACATCTGTTTGCCATAACTGATGAGGTTCTAGTCCTCTAGGGTTAACACCTGTAGAAGGAGGGACATACCTGTGAGCCGGCAATCTGGGCATTGCTGGGTAATTTGTTTAGCTAGTCTCTGGGTAAGTTGAAATTGCTTCAATAAGTTTCTCCAGTTTGGGTGAAAAAATTGATGCAATTGGGTGGCGTGGTCAAGCAGTGATGTTCTAACTTGTAGATCTGCTTAATCATTGCCATAAGCCAGTGGGCCAGGCAGCGAGCTGTGGGCTCAAATTTGTGTGATAAAAATAGGATGTGTATATTGATCTAGCAAATGCTGAAGTCGGAGAAAAAGTGCATACAGGCTGGGCTCCAAGGTGGACTTAATGAGGGCTGTCTCAAGTTTCTGCAATAAACAGAGTAAGCAGACTCACTAACAATATTGATGAGCTGAACGGAAAAAGTTTCCAAGGCCAATAGTAAGGCTCCAACTTCAGCTCTCTGAGTGCTAGTAAATCCAGAACAAGTGAGGGAATTATGTGGTCTCCACCAGACAGCCTCTTTTCCATGTTTACCAGAGCCATCAGTAAACAGTGTTAAAGCATTAGGTATGGAGGATTGAACTATTTTAGTAGGCAAAACCACAGAAGTACAAGATAAGAACTAAAGGAGTTTGTCAGCAGGAAGGGCATGCTCTATATGGCCTTTGTAATCAGAGAGTGCTATTTGCAGGTCCACAGATAAGGCAATACTGCCTTGAATTGCTTTTTACTTAAAGGAATCCTGATGATATCAGGGTCATAACATAGCAACTGATTGCATCATCTGCAGCCTGAATAGATGACTTCACTGAATAACTGGATATAGGGAGAGAGTGTTTTAGTCCTGGTATGTGAACAAAAAACCCCTTCTAGGAAGCATAGCCCTGGGGTCATCTGTAGGGGAGTATTTAGTGGGAAAAACAAATAATTGAACTGAATACCATGGATCAATGCAATCTAGTTGTCTCTGAGAAATAGCTTGCTCTATCTCTTCAATTTCCCTTTCTGCTGCAGGAGTTAAATACCTGGGAGAGTATAGGGCAGCATTGCCTTTTAAGATAGAAAACAGATTCTGTAACTTATCAGTAGTTATGCCCAAGGTGGGGCAAAGCCAGTTAATATTGCCTAGTAATTTCTGATAATCATTTAAGGTATGTAAGTTGCTAGTATTTAATTTAACCTTTTGAGGTCTTACTGACTGGGAAGTTAGAATGTACCCAAGATATTTCGATATTTCCAAGGAGAAGACATCTGTACTTTTTCAGGTTCTATGATTAAACCTCTTAACTTTGTATTCTTTATGACAGAGGCATGTAACTTTAAAAATACTGGCTCTGTTGGGGCTGCTAGTAAAATATCATCCATAAAATGAATAATCCTGCAATTAGGAAATTATTTTCTACTGGGGAACAAAGCTTGATTTACATGATATTGACACATGATAGGACTGTTAAACATTCCCTGAGGAAGCACTTTCCAATGAAATCAGTGAGCTGGCCTTTCACTATTAAGAGCTGTTATTGTAAATGCAAATTTTTATCCGTCCTGTTCTGCAAGGGGAATAGTATAAGAGCAGTCTTTTAAGTCAATAATGATTGTAGGCCATTCTCAAGGAATTGCCACGTGTGGGGGCAGTGGGGGCCTGCTGAAGGGGCCCCATAGGTTGCAACTTAACATTAATAGCACATAAGTCATGCGAAAGTCTCCATTTACCAGACTTTTGGGGAATGATGAAAATGGGCAAATTCCAAAGACTGTTTGATGGTTCTATATGGCTTTTAATT